TGGCATTCTGTGAAATATGTGGTTCATGTGTAGATTTGACGGCAATGTGACTTTTGGTGATATAGTTGTTCATATGTAAGTTTGCTGGTGTTTTGACAATCAGTGAAAATATTCCTTTCTATTGTATGCTTGCTGGCGTAGTGACTTTTGGTGAAAAAAAGTGGTTCATACGTAAGCTTGCTAGTGCAGTGACTTTTGGTGAATTGAGTGGCTCATACGTAAGCTTGCTGGCGCAGTGACTTTTGGTGAAAAGAGTGGTTCATACGTAAACTTGGTGGGGCAGTGAATTTTGGTGAAAAGAGTGGTTCATACGTAAGCTTGCTAGTGCAGTGACTTTTGGTGAATTGAGTGGTTCATACATAAGCTTGCTGGCGCAGTGACTTTTGGTGAAAAGAGTGGTTCATACGTAAGCTTGCTGGGGCAGTGACTTTTGGTGAAAAGAGTGGTTCATATGTAAGCTTGCTGGGGCAGTGACTTTTGGTGAAAAGAGTGGTTCATATGTAAGCTTGCTGGGGCAGTGAGTTGGGGTTTTAGTATTTGAGTATAATTAGATTCTCCAGCCAAGAGAGTTATTACTCACAAATTTTGGCATTTTTGTCTGTCCTATCCCTCCGTCCCCCTCAACCTCAGTTGATGTGGAGGGACCTGCCTTGAAGCTCATGGGAAATCAGGTGCCACGATCCCATGCCAGCAGCCAACTCAGCACAACACTGAAACAGCATCACTTGTTCCGGAAACCACACTGCTGATCAATATTCGATCTGTAAATAGTGATAGTGTTGTATCAGGAGATTTTGCAGTGTTTATGCCTGCAAGAGTTGCTTCCCTTGGTATGTTCAGCTCAGTGTTGTAGTGCATACTGTCAGTTTTACTCTCCCAGGTAGTGCACAGATTTCACTGTAAACTTGTGTAGCTGTTATCAGATAGTAAGTACCAGTCAGACGGTTCTGATCTGTGGGACGTACATACTTTGCATTGTAAGGTACTGGGTAATATTAAAGTTATGGTCTGGTTGGTTGGGTTGTTGCTTATCGCTGCACTCAGCATTATTCCAGCTATATGGCAGCAACCTGTCAATAGTCGAGTCTGAACCAGACGATCCAGTGATCAACAGCATGAGCATCGATCTACATAATTGGGATACAATGACATGTGCCAGCTAAGTCAATAATAGATTTCAGAGAGGCCTATATGTATTGATAGGAACAAACTTCACTTATATTCTGTAGAGGAAATATAAATTCTCATTATTGTTATGGGATTCGAACCCCAGACTTTTCGGTCCAATGCTGTGTTGTCTAACTGATACGGGTAAGGTTGTTGTCTGTAGCACAACTCAGGACACTGGTAGATTTAGATTGTAGAAATAACAAAGATGTAATCCCTTGGGTAATGTTGGCAAACGGTATTCATTGGTGTCCTGTTCAAAACTATGACAAGCTTTAGAGTCAGTCTGAAACAAACTGTAAGGTGTCTGTATAACTTCCTATCGGTCAGTGGCCTGAGCTGACCATTCTTGGCCTCCAGCTAGATTAGCAGTGACCTCAGGTCAGCTGTTTCAGTAGCAATGCTCAGGTCACCCTCCTTGGACATGTAGTATTGACCTATTGTCCTGCAAACTTCTGATGCAGGAGGAACTCAAGGATCTGCTTCATAGTAACCTACCTGTGTAATACTCTCTGTGTATTGACTGTGTTTGACACAGGGAGCAGACCCACAAGGTGATACAGACTGTAATGCCCTACCTGTGTAATACTCTCTGTGTATTGACTGTGTTTGACACAGGGAGCAGACCCACAAGGTGATACAGACTGTAATGACCTACCTGTGTAATACTCTCTGTGTATTGGCTGTGTTTGACACAGGGCAGCAGACTCACAAGGTGATACAGACTGTAATGTCCTACCTGTGTAATACTCTCTGTGTATTGGCTGTGTTTGACACAGGGCAGCAGACTCCACAAGGTGATACAGACTGTAATTGACCTGTGTAATACAGGGTGTTTGACATACAGACTGGCAGACTCACAAGGTGATACAGACTGTAATGTCCTACCTGTGTAATACTCTCTGTGTATTGGCTGTGTTTGACACAGGGCAGCAGACTCACAAGGTGATACAGACTGTAATGTCCTACCTGTGTAATACTCTCTGTATTGGCTGTGTTTGACACAGGGCAGCAGACTAAGGTGATACAGACTGTAATACCCTACCTGCCCTACCTGTGTAATACTGTGTATTGGCTGTGTTTGACACAGGGCAGCAGACTCACACAAGGTGATACAGACTGTAATGTCCTACCTGTGTAATACTCTACTCTGTGTATTGGCTGACTGTGACCTGTGTAATACTCTCACTGTGTATTGGCTGACACAGGGCAGCAGACTCACAAGGTGATACAGACTGTAATGCCCTACCTGTGTAATACTCTCTGTGTATTGGCTGTGTTTGACACAGGGCAGCAGACTCACAAGGTGATACAGACTGTAATGTCCTACCTGTGTAATACTCTGTGTATTGGCTGTTTTGACACAGGGCAGCAGACTCACAAGGTGATACAGACTGTAATGTCCTACCTGTGTAATACTCTCTGTGTATTGGCTGTGTTTGACACAGGGCAGCAGACTCACAAGGTGATACAGACTGTAATGTCCTACCTGTGTAATACTCTCTGTGTATTGGCTGTGTTTGACACAGGGCAGCAGACTCACAAGGTGATACAGACTGTAATGTCCTACCTGTGTAATACTCTCTGTGTATTGGCTGTGTTTGACACAGGGCAGCAGACTCACAAGGGGATACAGACTGTAATGTAATGTCCTACCTGTGTAATACTCTGTGTATTGGCTGTTTGACACAGGGCAGCAGACTCACAAGGTGATACAGACTGTAATGTCCTACCTGTGTAATACTCTCTGTGTATTGGCTGTGTTTGACACAGGGCAGCAGACTCACAAGGTGATACAGACTGTAATACCCTACCTGTGTAATACTCTCTGTGTATTGGCTGTGTTTGACACAGGGCAGCAGACTCACAAGGTGATACAGACTGTAATGTCCTACCTGTGTAATACTCTCTGTGTATTGGCTGTGTTTGACACAGGGCAGCAGACTCACAAGGGATACAGACTGTAATGTCCTACCTGTGTAATACTCTCTGTGTATTGGCTGTGTTTGACACAGGGCAGCAGACTCACAAGGGGATACAGACTGTAATGTCCTACCTGTGTAATACTCTCTGTGTATTGGCTGTGCTTGACACAGGGCATCAGACTCACAAGGGGATACAGACTGTAATGTCCTACCTGTGTAATACTCTCTGTGTATTGGCTGAGTTTGACACAGGGAGCAGACCCACAAGGGGATACAGACTGTAATACCCTACCTGTGTAATACTCTCTGTGTATTGGCTGTGTTTGACACAGGGCAGCAGACTCACAAGGTGATACAGACTGTAATGCCCTACCTGTGTAATACTCTCTGTGTATTGGCTGTTTGACACAGGGCAGCAGACTCACAAGGTGATACAGACTGTAATGTCCTACCTGTGTAATACTCTCTGTTTTGACTCACAAGGGGATACAGACTTTAAATTACATTTGTGATGTCATTCCATTGTCTGCTCGCTCCATTACTTTTCAGGAATGGAGCGATGTGTACCAGCTTCAAATTAAAGACTTCATTTTGTCATTTTGACATATAACTTTGATAACAGAAATATTCCCAATACTTTGAATGTAATTTAAGTAGGGTAATATCCTCGTAACTCTCCATTCCTTCAAAACAATGTGCCTCGGCCCCTCCCGGGCCTCGGCTCCATTATTTTTAAGGAATGGAGAGTTACTCGGACATTACCCTCTACCCAATGTCCTACCTGTGTTCTGTGTATTGGCTGTGTTTGACAGCACAACTCAGGACACTGGTAGATTTAGATTGTAGAAATAACAAAGATGTAATCCCTTGGGTAATGTTGGCAAACAGTATTCATTGGTGTCCTGTTCAAAACTATGACAAGCTTTAGAGTCAGTCTGAAACAAACTGTAAGGTGTCTGTATAACTTCCTATCGGTCAGTGGCCTGAGCTGACCATTCTTGGCCTCCAGCTAGATTAGCAGTGACCTCAGGTCAGCTGTTTCAGTAGCAATGCTCAGGTCACCCTCCTTGGACATGTAGTATTGACCTATTGTCCTGCAAACTTCTGATGCAGGAGGAACTCAAGGATCTGCTTCATAGTAACCTACCTGTGTAATACTCTCTGTGTATTGACTGTGTTTGACACAGGGAGCAGACCCACAAGGTGATACAGACTGTAATGCCCTACCTGTGTAATACTGTCTGTGTATTGGCAGTGTTTGACAATACATAGCAAGTCATCAAAGTGATCAGTTGTGATGTCCTGATTGCATTTTTGGTGTTTAGATTTCCAGTTATAATTTATATGTAAATCATGACTTTTAATTTTATATTGATTTATTATATATTGGAGATAACTTTCTATGGATAATTCCCATCTGAACGGACATCGCATTGTTAACTACCTGAAGGAAGTTGACCTGTATCATAAATTGTAACTATGTAATGTGAATTGCTTGTTTTTGAATTTGGTGCTATGATATATTTTGCTTGTAAATAATAATGTAATGAATATATATGCTTTTAATAAACTGATTTGGACTTTGTACTTAAATTTAGTATAAATGTAGACTTGATCTCATCACTCTATGGCTGGAATATTGCCAATGTCACGTAAAGGCCAACTCAGCACAATTCTATGGATAAATTTGACTGTTATTTTTAAAGGGATGGCTTCATGTCAAATAGACTCACTTAAGAAGCACATATCTGTATCCTCATTGAAAAACTATGTCAAGGCAAGGTTAAAGATATATTGTGAACATGTTGATACCAAAAATATGTATGGTCAGAATAACAATTTATCTGCCTTTCTCGTTTCATTGATTGTGTTGTTTGATTGATTTGTCAATTGTTTGTTGATTTTCAGACTGTGGGACCTGCATCTCTATGTCAACATGATCATCCGCCGGTCTGCCAGCAGAGAATGCACATAGGTCCCCTCGCAACACTATGCCTCCTCCAAAGAAACCAAAATCAGGGCCTACATCTGCTGAGCAGTTTTTATCCAAAGAGGAGCTTTCCAAACTCACCAAGGATGAGTTGGCGACGGCAGCATCCACCCCGGCAGCAACACCACCAGCATCATCTGGGGAGGATGAAACACCAACCAAGTCTAAGCATGGTAGGGAGGGGGTGTCCAAGAAACTGGCCCATGACAATAAGGGACATGTTCATATTCTGAAAGAACTTTGTGCAAAACGTGATGAATCTGTTAAAGTGGAATACCTCCCTGAGACCTCCCTTCCTGCAAGGAAAGGGAAATCTCCACCCCACAATGCAGAACACCTAGACAACCCCAGACCTGACAAGAATGCCACGGCAGCTAGCTCAGCCTCAGGAAGGGCCCAAAGGGAAAAGAACTTACATGATACCCTTTCTCTCAAAATGCCCGCCAAAAACATGCCACCTTTTGGTCATGTTTTGGCGTCCAAAACTACTGAGGGGCATTATATTCAGGTTCTTGAACGTCAGGGTCAGCAACTTGTCTCAGAGACAGTCATCACTCAGGTGCAGCACCAGCATCAGCAGCAGCAGCATCCTCAGCAGCAGCAGCAGCAGCAGCCAAATGTTGTCCCTGCATTCTGTCAGTCGATGATCCAACTACCTCCTTCTAATACCTCATTGACCAGATCGTGTACCTCGACTACATTTTCAGGGGCAAGTGCTCTAGTGAATCAGCTACCTCCGTACCTACAGGATAACAGTTCAGTGTGTTCGCCTCACAGCCAGACCACGACCTCCGAGCCTTATGACTTGTCTCTCAAGAAGGTTTGCGCTCCGTTTGGCCGTGGGGTGGACGATCACCTCAAATACCACCCAGACATCAGCCCCAGCAGTACCGGCAGCTTGCCGGCGGCCTTTATGGCTTTTGCAGCTACAGGGCAGCAGCATTCTGCTCTGGGCGACCATGATAAACTTCTTTTGACCTCAACAGGTCGTTACCTCAATAACACTCAAGGGATTTCAACAAAATGTACCTCAGATACAACTCAGTTCCTTCAGGGTGAAGGGATCCCAGGACTGAAGAGCACCATGCTCACTCAGGTGACCCCCAATGTGATGAGCATCCTAACAGGGGGCAAACCAACTGTCCTGCTGAGCGACCAGGTCCAGGCGTTCCCCGTGGCTCCGCTCTCACGGTCATCCGTCTCCACAGACAGTGGCATTTCTGGCAAGGAAAGTCTGCCTGGTAGTCCTTTAGGGTAAGCCATCTTTCCTTCCCTCACTTAGCCATCTTTCATACCATTATGTGGATAGTCTTCTAGATAAGCCATCTTTCCTCCATCTGTATAGTCTAGTTCACTGCAGTCTCCTAGATTAGCCATCCATTCTTCTTTCATTTGTACTTTCCACTGTAGTCTTCTAGTTAAGCCATCCTTCCTCTCTTCATATGTACACAACCAGTCCGCTGTAGTGTTCTGTATAAGGCCTCTTTCTGTACTTCATCTGTTCATCTGCACAGTCCACTGTAGTCTTGAGGATAAGCCCTATTTCGGTACTTCATCTATACAGTCCACTATAGTCTTCTAGTTAAGCCATCCTTCCTCTCTTCATATGTACACAACCAGTCCGCTGTAGTGTTTTGTATAATGCCTCCTTCTGTACTTCATCTGTTCATCTGTACAGTCCACTGTAGTCTTCTGGATAAGCCCTCTTTCGGTACTTCATCTGTACAGTCCACTGTAGTCTTCTGGATAAGACCCTCTTTCAGTATTTCATCTGTACAGTCCACTGTAGTCTTCTAGTTAAGCCATCTTTCAGTATTTCATCTGTACAGTCCACTGTAGTCTTCTGGATAAGCCCTCTTTTGGTACTTCATCTTACAGTCCACTGTAGTCTTCTGGATAAGCCCTCTTTCGGTACTTCATCTTACAGTCCACTATAGTCTTCTGGATAAGCCCTCTTTCGGTACTTCATCTTAAAGTCCACTGTAGTCTTCTGGATAAGCCCACTTTCGGTACTTCATTAGTCCAGTCCACTGTAGTCTTCTGGATAAGCCCACTTTCGGTACTTCATCTGTACAGTCCACTGTAGTCTTCTGGATAAGCCCTCTTTCGGTACTTCATCTTACAGTCCACTGTAGTCTTCTGGATAAGCCCTATTTCGGTACTTCATCTTACAGTCCACTGTAGTCTTCTGGATAAGCCCTCTTTCGGTACTTCATCTTACAGTCCACTGTAGTCTTCTGGATAAGCCCACTTTCGGTACTTCATCTTACAGTCCACTGTAGTCTTCTGGATAAGCCCACTTTCGGTACTTCATCTAACAGTCCACTATAGTCTTCTGGATAAGCCCACTTTCGGTACTTCATCTAACAGTCCACTGTAGTCTTCTGGATAAGCCCACTTTCTCGGTACTTCATCTTACAGTCCACTGTAGTCTTCTGGATAAGCCCACTTTCGGTACTTCATCTAACAGTCCACTGTAGTCTTCTGGATAAGCCCTCTTTCGGTACTTCATCTAACAGTCCACTGTAGTCTTCTGGATAAGCCCACTTTCGGTACTTCATCTAACAGTCCACTGTAGTCTTCTGGATAAGCCCTCTTTCGGTACTTCATCTTACAGTCCACTATAGTCTTCTGGATAAGCCCCACTTCTTCTGTACTTCATCTAACAGTCCACTGTAGTCTTCTGGATAAGCCCACTTTCGGTACTTCATCTAACAGTCCACTGTAGTCTTCTGGATAAGCCCACTTTCGGTACTTCATCTAACAGTCCACTGTAGTCTTCTGGATAAGCCCACTTTCGGTACTTCATCTAACAGTCCACTGTAGTCTTCTGGATAAGCCCACTTTCGGTACTTCATCTAACAGTCCACTGTAGTCTTCTGGATAAGCCCACTTTCGGTACTTCATCTGTCCAGTCCACTGGCTGTTTTCTTTCCTTCATCTGCATAGCCCAGTCTGGTGTAGTCTCTGGCTTCTTTCCTTCTCCTCTGTGTGTAGTCCAGGGTGCCTAGTTAGGTCTGTTTATTGTTGTTCAACACTTCATGCTATTCACAAGCAAACTCTGTTCATATGGACATGCTTTATAATTTACTGGAACATGTTATCATACAAAAGTGAATTTGTGGCACTTTTATCCTTCTGGAAAATTTATAATTTCACTTTGGCTGAGCTTGCTGCATTTTCATCAAACATCCTGGATCACACATTGTGTTACTCTGCTTCATGGACATTTCTCAGCTTCATTTACATCTGTATACATAAAATGTTTTTTAGGAACTAATTCTCAAGGTTGAACTATCACACAGCAAATAAATGTTAACAGACCATATCTGACTGAATTAGAGCCTCTGAATGGGTCTTGGATCCTGTAGGCTCAGAGTCCTTTTAGAGTAAATGATTATTCAGTAATAATACATCTTGTATTATTTTATTGAAAGTGAAATGGATAAGGCTAATTTTTATAATTCTATGTTGTTTGGTCTTAGTTTTCTGTAACAGAGGTGTAGCATAGTGTGAAGAACTAAGGGGGATAACTTTCACAGCATGATTATCTCCCTTATCAACCTTCAACTGTTAAGTTTAATGATGGCAACCTGGCATTCATCAATCATAGATGAGACCACATGTAGGACGATGTAGTCCTGGCTGTCAGATTTTATAGTTCTTAAGGAATGAAGGGGTCTAACTCTCACTGAATGGTTATCTCCCTTATCAACCTTGAAATGTAAAATCTGTCAATGGCAACATGCATTTATCAACTCTGGAAGGTATTTCTCCAGTGCTTTTTGGAACAAATGTTATAAAGAAGCTTTATGTATGCTGAAACAGTAAAACTAACACATCAATGAACGCAGTTACATGTTTATAGTTTTTTGCATGGATAATTGTATAATTCAGTATTCTCATCTTTCGTAATTTCATTCTGTGTTGTAACTTTCTTCATCAAGGTAATCCCACATTGTGAATAAATGGCTATACAACATGTGTGCCTTTGTTATTTCTTTAACAGAATTGGGACTATTGCAAAACAAGGGAACTACAACCGACAGCTTTTCCTATTTAGTATAATCTCTTGAAATTTGTCAGATCATGCACTCAATGAACTCTAATACAAACTTTAAACAATCAGTTTAAATGAAATAAAATGTAAATTCAAAGCAATGTTTTGCAGTATGCACAATTCATGATATTACAATGTTGTCATTGTTCCTATCAATGCTATGACACAACAAGGCTATCTGTATGGGCTGTATAGCTAGTTTGGATGTAATCACCTGCTATCGAATGAAGCTAATATCATCAAGCTCGTTTCTCTGCTTTTTATACAAAATATCTGAGAATAAATATAGCAAATGTTAGGATCAAAGGAATTTTTTAAAAAGTATCTACTGATGCAGAAATTTTGTTAAATATGATAATTGTGAAAAATTTCCCCCCCAAGACTTATTGTGTCATTTTGCAGTCAGTAACATACATTTCCTTGGCTCCGCCTCTGTAGCTTGCTTTCTGCTGTTAAATGGTGTAGTGCACAATAATGATCCTTCCGACAAGCAACATGATTCAGTATATATGAGAAATTACTGATACCTGTTTGGAACGTTGGTTGTAGTTGTAAAGTGTATAATAGTTGCTGTCTTTGTCGGACATAAAACTTTGCATCACACCATGTCTCCAGTAACACCAGCTGCCCTACTTGTGGAAAGGTAAGTGCTTTATTGTGCTTACCTGTGCTTACCTGTGCTTACTGTGATTACCTCAGATACTTGCTTGCATCATCTGCAGGTATACATCTTGGTTGTATCATTAAATATTCTTCCACATGCTTTTGTCATATTGACACTGAATTATGTTATGGTTAACCCAGTTTGTGGAATATATATGTTTGTGGTGAAAAAAGTATGTGCTATGATATTGCTGCAGTGAAATTCTTCACTAGATCACTTCCAATCACAGTGTCATGTATAACAAGGGGTGTAAATATTCTTTATAATGGCCCCCTAATGCCCACAGAGGTGAGGGCAGGTGACAGACAGGTGGGTTATTTCTTGATGAAAGCGCTGTCTCATGCCTTGTCTGGCTTAGTGCCAAAGAGACCTGCACAAGATAATGAAATGTCCCAGTGGTGGTCAGACTTCCCACATCCTGACCTTACGATGACCTCACAATGACCTTAGCTAAGTTGTCTTCAAACAGTGGATGGGGTGGTTTATGACCTCGTATCACCATCCACAATGTTAACTGTTTACATTGTTGTAGAAGTCTGTGGTCCGGTGTGATGTACAGGGCTTGAACAAGGATATAACAAACTCCAAGGGACCAAGAAATTTAGTTCGCTATATCCGTTGTTCGTTATTCACATTTGACCGCCATCTTGGATTGTAGAGATGTAGACATTCACAGACATTACCTATATCATGTTGATAAATATGAAGTTTATTTTTATAATAAAATTGAAATAATACAACTACAACTTAAATAAATTTAGTTTTTAATGAAAATGCAAGCTTACATTTATAATGTCCAGATAAACCACGAAAGAAGCAAAAACTGTAGCGATTTTTTCTCCATTTGTGACATGTCATAACATGCCCGTGCCTTTTCTTTTATATTTTCATTTTTATGTAATCAGGCTTTCCGTTCGTTAACATGACACAACAACGGGAAATACCTCCGTTTTGGAAGCTTCGTATGAATAACATGCGAGGCGAATCGTGTGGTGTCTGGTATCGTTCGACAGCTTTGGAACATCAACAATATCACTGTACCCTCGCCGAGAGTATTTTCACAGTTGTAAAAAGCGATTTTATTGGATAAAGATTGGTTTCTAATGACGCTTTTTCGCCACAGTCTGCTATAAGGATCGTGATTGGTCAAAATCAGACACGTGACCTAAGGCAGCCAATCATACTACGGCAATGGATACCGTCCTCGTCAACAAAAACGGTTGTTGAATGGGTTAAACACAATATGTTTGTTTTGTTAATTAATTAATGACCATCAATCAATGTTGATTCACCGCCAACAAGATTGATGTATACTGTACCGCTAAGTGGCTGAGCTGACACTGAGTGAGTTCGCTAATCACGTCGTTAATTGGGTCTTGGGGGTAGTAAATCAGTTCGCTATAGCCGTTAATTCGCTACTCACGAGTTCGTTATTCACGTATAATTTTAATGATATTATAAAGGACTGTTGACGGGACTTTTAAATTTGTTCGCTATATCCGCTTGTGCGCTTATATCCGTGTTCGCTAT